TTCCGCATCATTAGCACCACACATTAAACAAAAAAAATACAAAATCTTGATGGTAATCATATTCATCGTACCAAAAACAAAAAATTATTTCTTCTCTTTATTTAAATGTTTTTCAGGATGTATACTTGTCTCTCCTAATGGACGACAACTCTTATCTGAATTAATCAAAAATCAAGAGAACAGTGAGAATGATGAATCTATATTTCAAGGTAAATAAAATAACTATGATCATTCATTTAAATTTAAACATATCATTTTAAATTAAAATAAGTAAAATTTTAATAGAATAATTACCTGGTGTTTACTTTAATATTTTTTAGTATTTGATGAATTTTAATATCGATACAATTCTCTTCCATTGGACATTGTATTTCAATTTTTTCATCGTTTTCAACGTAAAATCGTCTCATATACGAACAATAGTAATCATCATCTTTAACAGAAATAATTGATGTTGATTTTATTCGTTTACCACTTTCATTCTGTTTCAATGAGCGTTTTCGATGTTGTTGTTCAGTTTTAAATAATTGATGATAAATTGTATCGTATAAAAAATGACAATGACACATGATCAAACGATGACGATCATTATTATGTGACGATAATAATTGGTATCTTAAAAAATAAAGATATTTGTAATAATTTAAATTGTTAAATAAAATAATCAATATAGTTTCGAAATGTTTTTTCTATTCTAAGAAAGAACAAAATCGAACAACTATATCAGCTTTATAATACAAAAAACTATTCTAATTACAATTTACTTTAGGCAAATCTGACAAGAAAACTGCCCCAAGTGTTCCCGAGCTTTTTCGTCGAAACACACATAGGCACAGGTTATTGCTGATGCTGATTTCGAATATCATAGTTGGAGTGGCACAAAGGCCCTTAGAAATCCAGTTTTCTAGAAAATCAGTTTTTCAGAAACTCGATAAAATAACCAAAGCTTTTCTTAATGATCATAATTGTAGCTCGCACATTTCTGATTAAAATGAGACATCTCCCAGCTCTACACGACCTTTCTTTGCAAAGTTATAGAAATAGAAAGTTTTTTCTTATTTCTATAACTTTGCAAAGAAAGGTCGTGTAGAGCTGGGAGATG